GCCGAACTTTTTTCCCCCTCCATTTCCAAATCTCATATCACATCGGGTAGGTGTAGGGAGGGCTTATATTGTCCCAATACGGTGGCATCCACCCCGTATTTTTTATTCCAGAGTAAGGGCAATTCATACAATACATTTAAACTGAGCTACTTTAATACCATCTCCGAACTTTCTACCACGACTCTGCTGTTCTTCGGCTGGTTCTTCCTGTATACGTTGATTGACAGATGTCTCGTCCAGTCAGCGGTGAGTAATCCCAAACCAATGCTGTCTCAAACTATACCTACCTTTTCCGGTTTGTCTGATTTGTCGTTGTGTTTTCTGACTTGTTATTTTGTTTTCGAATTTGTCATTGTGTTTTCTGCCTTGTTATAATGTTTTCTGAATTGTTGTTGTGCTTTCTGAATTGTTATTTTGTTTTTTAGACTTGCATTTGCGTTTGTAATTTGTTATTTTGTTTTCAGAATTGTGATTTGCTCTGCACTTCTCGGTCACCGTAATAAATGCATGGCTGAATCGAGTGACGCGATCTGAAGATCATGGTGAAGCATTACTGCAGATCCGTCGGAGTCTCAGGAGTTCTGATGTGATTCGTGTGTTTTCACGTTGCTTTAGAAGTTAACAGGCCGTTATAACAGACACATCTGAGAAAAGATCATGATATCAGCAGGTCTTCATGCAGGAGTTCAAGCCAGACACTGATGTGTAATTATTAATTCAGTGGTTTTATGATCAGTTATGTTTCTGACACACTCAGTACTGATTGCAGTGCTAAACACTTTTTCTGTCTTGTTTTCCAGTACAAGCATCTAAACATTCTTAAATCAAGACACATTTACTGGAGAAGCACGATGACTTGAGATATGAAGTCTTATTTTCTGAATTACTGATCAAAATGACGTGAGTTTTTGCTTGAAACAAGAACAAATATCTGTTAATGGGATCAGAAAAATAAACTTAATTCAAAGGGGAAATTAGATTTTTTTCTGAACGCATTGGCAGAAGAAACTCTTTTAATTCTTAAGATACTTAATATCTTATACGGAGCCCCTAAAGGGACATGGTGGTGGAAAAAAATCAGATTGAGTGAAAAAATTTGGGGTGGGAGGAAAAAATATTTGTCAGATTTTTTGCGTTCTCTCGCAAAACCAGTTGAGTTCGGACAAACACTTCCTGTTTACTTTACAGATCCCAGACAGCAACATAGTGTTGGCCCAGATCCGGCCCACATCTGGCCCATGTGAAATCCATGCGGGCCGGATCTGGGCCGAAACTGTCTGCTGTCTGGGATTGT